GATAGAATTGATCTGAAAAAATATGGCATATTTGAACTAAGCATTTCGAACAATCTGGTCGCAAATACTTGTCAGGACATTTTTTATATTAAACTTAATAAAGGTTAATTAAGTGAAAGTTCAAGTACAAATGGTAACAAAGGAGAGAGAAACATTTTTTTACATCGTATAGAAAGAATAAGAAATTGTCGCATTATCATAGGCCATAAAATGTCTTAAGGATTTCCAGGGTAAATTCAAGGGTACGACAAATTGTTTTTGTACAAATAAGGGCGGTTTAAATTTGCGAATAGCCAAGGCTTCAATAAACCGTGAATTCCACCTTGATGATTTATATACAATATTTTAAAAACTGTATTAATGTCAATTTTGTGCCCCGTTTCAATTATATGTTTCGCTATCGATGAATATGGTTTACTACCTCCCACGTTGATCGGACTATTTGACACTAGTTTCTAAGCTATCTAAGCACGTGTTCAATGATCCTTAATTGTATTGTTCGATTACTCCTCCCTATGTATGTGTGTCCACACAGACATGTAAATTGGTATATACAATGGGATGTGACGTTATTATTTGTGCACTGTTTAGGTCTATTTGGAATCATTGGCTTAGACTTTTCAATCACAACCAATTTAGCAACATAATAAGTTTTCTCTATGGCTGCTTTCAATCTCTATACTATTCGATTCACCTCTATATGGTAGATGGATATAAACGTTTTTCTTTGAAGCCGAATAAACGAGAGGTTTTAGCGTTAACTGACATTTACACCTCTTAATAAACTTTAGTGGATGACCATTTGATATTAATTTGTCAGTTAGCAAATGCTCATCTTTTTCAATCCTATCCGTAGTGCGAATCCTTTGAATCCTATTAAATAGACACTTAATGAAGCCTCGCTTGTGTCGCAATAGATGAAAACGATGAAAAGTTGAGTATTGCCCAATCCAGGATAGTTTTTACTGATATTTCAAAAAAAATTTCAATTTTTTGATTAATAATGAAATTCTTTTTTGTGTGTGTATGAAATGTATTTTATCTTCAGAAACAATTTAACAGCTTTCTTTGGTACCCGAGTCATGCTAAATTGATGATCAAATGAAAAAAAGGTATAAAATACCAAAATCTTTTCGGAACAGTTATGAATCCAAAAAAGAAAGAAGAAAAGTTGAGTAATTTTACACAAAACATTTTAAAATTTATGCTAAAGAGTAGGATTTTTACAATTGATTGATCACTGGGTGGTAATCAATATCATGCGTGTCAAGTCCTTATTTAGTGCAGATCGAATGCTATCGACCATGTTGCAATGTGGCCACCAGTCTAGGTGACTCGACACTGGGTTTTTAAGTGATATTTATTTGATAAACATCTATCTATTGTATCAGTTTTACGAGCCAATTAATTACTTTGAGTTGAAATACTATGGACTAAGATGGTGGAGAAGGTTTGTAGCTCTGGTGGATGATTTTGATGTTTTGTTCTCTGAGGTGAATCGTTTGGTCGTAGAGCTTCCATCGTTCTTTTGAACGACATCGTCAGTACAAACTTCCACTTCACATTTGGCCTTGAGGATTCCAAAAGAGGGCAAATAGACAAATAGACTTTAAATAAACATTAATGTAATTCATTATAATATAAAATGTATAGCGATTTGCTTCTTCAATTTAATACTACATTTGATTGCTTCTTGTTGACTTTAAACATCGAGATCTACAGGACAAGCTGTGGGCCATATATGGAGAAATCCGAACACTTTATTTCTACTTGAAGTTTGTGCTGACGATGTTGTTCAGAAGATCAATGAAAGCTCCACGACCAAACCATCCATTTCCGAGATCAAAACATTATCAAAATGATGCGTTAAAGATAAAGCTGAATATCTGAAGACTGAAATGAACTAAACTTTGTATTGAGTTACATTTACTTTTTACAAAGAGAAAACACTGTGTATTTTATATGAGCTCATTTTTAACCGTTTTATAATAACAACAATGTTATTGGTTGTGTATTTTTTAAATGCATTTTACTTATATCTTGTAAAATATGCATAAAAATTAAGTCTTTTAGTGTTAGAACTCTGTTTATTCGAGATACTGGGATATGATCATTTACCCTGATTTAAATGAATACAGTCTTATGTTTAACTTTCATTATGTATATGTTCTTTTAGTATTTCAATATATTTTTATTTTGTTATTATCAAACCGTAACATAAGCACGGTTTTAAACTGCTTTATAAAGTAACTGGGAAGAACTGGAAAGGAATGCCCAGGAAAGACTTCGATGGGGAATCCTGCTGGACGGCCTGTGCCCCATAACGAGGGGTAACAAGCGTAAATAAGTAAGTATATTGGTTTACTGTATTTCATTTCTGTATGTCAGATCTCGGTTAAGAAAACCCTTCGAAATGATTTGTGATTTGAAGCGTATTTACAATAACCTGAACCTAGGTTTCGTTTCTGCTGATAGCTATCAGTACAGAACATGTTAAACAAAAAAAGATTGGACGTTTCTTGTTAAATCTTAACCTGCATCACCTAGAATCACAACTATGTATTTGCAGATAAGCAATTCGAACTTCAAAATGTCAAGGTACACAGTCGATCTTTTTTTAAGATTTTTTATCACAAACAACATAAATAGTAGTATATTGAACGATTGCGTTAACAAAAGACATTAAACTAGGTGTCCTACAGAATCGTTGGAAATCTTGTTCTTAACAATGTTTTTTTAGTATTTGGATGTGTCAAACAAATCTATTGGTTAATAAGCAGTTACACTTATAAATACTATGTGTTTCAATTAAATCAACAAATTTTTCTAAAGTTTGAAGTACATAGTGTCGCAGTAACAAAAAGCATCAAATATGATATTCCTGTGTTACATTATTCATTATTATTATTAATGGCTTTATTCAATATTATATTTTGGTACAATATAGAATTCTCAGCACAGGGTATTTCAACAAGTTACTTACGCCAAAAAACAGTGACAAAGACAAAAAAAGGAAAAAAAAGTTCAAAAAAACCGAAAAACTGTACAACTTTTCAAATTAGAGACATGTTAAGAATGCAGGTTATTGACTAGGTGAACTCTAACAACCTGTTCGTCACAGAGTATATTTGCTAGATAAGGTAATATAGAAAATTTATATTTTTGCTTGCGTGCATGAATTTGAGTGTAATTACGTCTCGTTCTACCAGAAGATATACAAAGAGAAAGATAAGAGTGAAAGGGATGGTTAATATCTGATAAGATAACATCTTCCAGGAGTTTGCATAACTTTAGATGTCTATCCACAACTATATTAATTATGGTAAGCTTCAGTATACTATCTAACTATATAGGGAAGAATTATTTCTAAAGTCTAATGTTCTTTTTCAAAAAAAGTTCTTTTGAAATGGTGCTTGAAAGAAACGTTCGTTTAATAACGGTCAACTTGAATAAATGATCAGAATTTAATGAATTTGTAACCTAAAAAGATTGTTGACCATTTAACATTTGAAAAAGTATTGACTTTTCAGAAAAAGATCTGCCTAGATATTATAAAAATCAATTCACAAATGAAACAATAAGAGTTTTTCTTGTATGCTTTAATACTATACAAAACATTTTGAGACTAACAACCATATATACTGTTTTTATATTCATTTCAATTATTTCATTTAGATTTTGTTTAGTAACTATTAGGTAAAAATGATTCATCACGTCTCTAAGATAAGAAGAATATTTCGATGGTTTCCGATAACATTTAAAACGTGTTTACCACAATGATGAAAAGTAAAAAGAACAAACAAAACAATATAAATGGACAATGAATATAGAATGGGTCGTTTAAGTCTAGATGATTTTAATATATTAATTACTAAAGTTCCCATTTTAAAATAATTATCAATTAAGGTGTACATAATATAAAGCTGGACAGTCAATAAGGCAAAGGAATGGAGGACCATAATGAATGATGAGCAAATCAGTTTGTATATTCATTTTAGACTATATTTGTCAAATAATCAACTGGAACACGTATTCTATTACGGAAGTTGATCATATTTAATTGCACTTTCTATGAGAGTAAATTAGGTAAATGTATTTCGAGTAGAATTTACATTTATAATAATCGATTCGAATTTATTTACTTGAAGGACCAGAATCCTAATTTTTATAGTAAACATGAATTTGTTTTAGTCACACTCATTCACTTACGTCTGTATTCATTTATAATCACTTTTTAAAGTTAACAGAAAACAAGATCTACTGATGTAAATCTTTTTTCATTTACCACATGATCAAATATCCATTTTCTGAAATAAAAGAGTCAAGACTGCTTGTGAGATAATAAACGAATATTTGATTTGTTCAACAGCCAATAAAACAAGATATCTATGTATATTCACAACTGAAATCACCAGTCGATCTAAGCTAGGCCATCATTGAGAATCCGGAAGCAGTAGACGACTGTTTCTTCCTAGCATGAAACTCCCCAGCAGTGTGTATCCATAATTCCTCAAAAGAAACTAGAACCTAAGAGTTTCAACCTCACTCGTGTTGAGTACCGTATTAACACACAAATATCAAGCCACAGGATCGAATCCCGCGTCTGTGATCTTTGTTGCGCACTATCAAGGAATCCCATGCTGTGACGAAACAGCCGTTTAGTGATTAAACGTTTTCAGTAGTGATCTAGCTTAGATCAACTCGTGATTTTAACTGTAAAAGTTCTACAGTGTCGAAAAATCCCCGTTCTGATATATGCATATATTTGAAACAGTACTGGAAGAACATAAATCAAAAGTTCCACAATGTGTCAAAATATTTTCATGATAGTATGATAACTTTCACTACAATATAAAAATGTCATAAAGTCATGTTTTATTGTGTTTAATTTTGAATTAGAAAATACATCCTGTCGTATAACATATATGTATATGACTAAACATAAGGTTTATTTTGGATTCAAGAGAAAAACATCCAATATAAACATTTATAAATATTACCTGACAGTTTAATGTTTGCTCTTGGTAAAGTTGCATGTTTATCGTTTAATCGAAATCTGTGCAGTATATTTGAATAAACATTGTCTTCTTTATCTGACATTGAACGTGGTGTGTTTGTTTTGACATTTGATGCAGGATAAATGTCAACTGGATAACCTTTCGAAAGGAACTCAGACAATGCTTTTGTTACCTTGATATTTTGAAAAATATCTAAATCACAGCCTTTCTGCTTCCAATTTATAGAACTAAATGCATGTGGTTTATTACTTTGTATCGTTGTAAATGCTGAATCTGTATGTAGGACATGTTCAACAGACGATTGAATGCTTTTAATCCCAGTTGCTGATGGATGTTTATGTACAAAAAATTCATAAGCTGAAAATATATTAAAACATGTATCTTACATAAAATGAATTTAACAATAACTTACTACAGAAAAAAAAACAATATTTCAAACCACCCATCAGCCTATGTTAACAAGTACAATTCATGGATTAGTCAATGAATTCTTCTTCTTAATATTAATTGACAATGAACAGTACATCTTAAGTAATCATATTTAACTGTAACTTTTATCCTAAGAAATATATCACAACTTTAAGAAAAAAATAGTATTATCCTTTCAACTAAAGTGATTAAGACTATTTGTACTGTTAAATATTTTAATCAAATAACCAATCGATAGAAGAGCCAGATTATCTGTGAAGTCTAGATCATCCAGTTGCATTCAATTGACAATCAGAAAATAAACTTAATTCTTACTAATTTCAGATCCCTATAATGAATAAGACACATCTTTTCTATTAAAAGCTTGGAATTTGTTATTCATTAAGTCACAATGATAAACAAAGATAAATTATAAACAATAGTCAACTATGTAACAAGCATATAAGGACGACGATTATAGACAGTTGACAAGGTTATATTATATGAAATATGATATAAAGATTAAGTTCGAATTTTATTTGTCTTACTCTATATAGACTAGTAATGATTATCTGTTTAAATCAAAGAAAATTTGATTATTTTTTGTTTGTTTGTTTATTTTTAAAATTATAATAATAAAACAAAATGAATCAGATAATTATGATTTATTTCGAACGATCTGTTCATTAGATCTTTTATCAAGTAATTTGACATAAGAGCTGAGCTAACCTAGTTGAACAAGAAGGTAAATAAAATAAACAAAAGAAGCGATAACTCTAAAGTTATAAAAGAAAAATAAAATAAAATATAGAAAAGTAAGTTGTTACATGAAAAAAATAGGTGAAGGATAATGAAAGCAAGTTCAAAGTTTAAATGAAATAGTTTCATAAATTTAAAGAAAAGTGAAATTTTCTGATGTATCAGTGGGTTCTAATGGTTTAGAATATGTCGCTGACCTATTTTGTATGTTGTTTTGAAAATTTCCTTTCAGTCAGTTCTATATCCTGTTGAGGTTGTTTTCTGCTTAAGAGATATACATTTACCTATTTGATGATTTCAAGGGAATTCGAATTCATTTGGCATATCCTTCACCATCTCTAACCCCATAGTTCAAGTACTTTCTCTTTTAAGTATTAATCTACATATATTCAATTATTTTTTTGGAACTGGTTGTTTGATTTACTTTTTTAATATAGTATGATAACTTACAGATCACCCTATATTTATAATCTTAACTTGAACGGTCTGAAATTTGTATGGTCGAAAGCTGTATTGTTCTTCCAGCCTATCATAACAACAAACAGTAGTAGTACAACGACGTAGTGGGTTCATTTAGTGCAAATCCAAACTTTTTTTCATTACGTTAACCGATAAAAGTATATAAATATATTCGAACAACATATACGAGCGAACATTGTTATTTGTAGTTTGATCCTCATCAGTATCCACTCTAATATACAGTGATATATATATTCATATCCGAAATTGTTGAATCAATCGATGTCTATCTACGAATTCATCTGCTTCTGTGGAGAACGTCGTATTGGGCCTACAACCAAACGTCTCAGCTAACAAGTTAATGAACACTTCCTTTCGTGTTTGAGAAAGGGTAACGTCAAAACAATACGCAACTCTGTTCTTTTCGTTTACTTTCATCTACACCATTTTTTAAATGTACACTTCATTGTCCAATAATCTGAGAAATTCTTACTACGTAATCTTATAATGTTTAATGATTGCTATTTCAGTGTCTATATTTTTTTTAATCATTGAGCTGTTTCCCATTATAAAACAGTGATTCAAGCCTTTATTATTTTTATCTCATCTAGTATACCTGTCATCACACTGTTAATTTGTACTTCTCATTTATTATGCTTATTTATGTAATCTACTCCACTGTTATGATTAACTCATAAAGTACCTTGATTGGTTTAATAATTTCGTATATGCATATAAATATTACTGTATATGAGAGTAAAGACTGATGAGGATCTAACTGAAAACAATATTATTCGCTTATATATGTTGTTCTAAATCACAATATCGGAATTGTTCAATGTATATATATCGTTATTGCTTCGATTTACGGTGTTCATCAATACTCTACCTGTAGTAAACTGAGAGATACAAGCAATAAAAATGTAAATTACCATTTTTTACAGAGTGTGTAGAACAAAAGTTAAGTAAAATGTATTCGTCATAACTAATAAATCATACCATTATATTTTTTCACCTTTCGACCCAATAGTATAGCCTCTTTGAAACTATGGAATACACTTTTTTTGGGTTCGTCAACTAAAATTTCAACATCGAGTGCACTGATATTTAGCCTGTATTTTTTAGAAGTACCAAAATTGTGTTGACTTTCAACTGAAAGTGACGTACGAGTATTCACATAGTTATCAGAAAGCTTTTGTTTAATAAGCTCAGATAAATTTAATGAGAATTTCAATCGAAATCCACGTGAATAATTGGCTTGTTTTAAATGACACATAAATGTGCCATTATGAAAATCGAATTCCGGTGTTATTGATATTTGAAATGTATTACCTGTAAAAATATAAAATGATCAGATTAGTCAAGAGAAGCTTGAATTAAAAAGGGCAACAGACAAAATGTACCCGAAATCATCTAACCTGACAATAATGTTTGGCTTTCAGGATCACTTAATGTACATAAGTAATGTAGGATTTGAATCAGTAAGGTATTTCACTCTTTCAGATATAGTCTAATGTTCTACAGACTGTATTCAGAAATTTATGATGATTAAAAGTCCCTAATAACTAAATCTTCATGTCATTATTTTCGAAAACCATTCTGACCAATTCATAAAACAGCTAATTATGATCTGATTTATTAAAAACTAAGATCATATTCAATTGTATTCATAAGTATTATGACTATCTATTGTGTAATCTACATAATATAAGAATATATACTTATTAGTGATGTTAAAAATAACTATTTTGATCAAACATTTATTTATTTATTGGGGTATTGTTGACATCCCATTTTAGAATTTAAGTTATTGAGCGTTTACTTAAAAAACGTTATCTTCCGTGATTCTTTATTTGTAATCCATGATTAATCTTCCCATTAAGTGATCAACTACATAGTCAATTTAAGTTAATGTACAGTTCATATGTTTATCAAAATGCCTTAATACTTCCCATTTCTCATAATCTACCATTTAAATTATTCTGTTACATATAAAAAGTATGTAGTTAATCACATAATTATAATTCAACCTATCCTTACTATGACTCAACAACATTTTCAGTATTCTACATACATAAAAATTCATCATCTAATTTTATTCTGTAAAGTTGATTGTTCTGATCGATGATCGAGATAGAAACTGATTTCACATGAATCCAACTGAAAGTATTTTTTTCCTTATGCATGAACTATTTATCATGTAACATGTAAGTCACAATTCAGAAACAATATTTCACATTGAAACATTTTTATCTTAGTAAAGAAAAATCTCGTTAGAATTCCATTGTCTACATTTTAAGTTTCAATAATGGACATCCAGTGACAATACCATGTTAGTAATGCAGAGGTTCAGCATCGTGTCTTCGGGCACAGCGATGATAATGCAATCGGTGTCACCATCTTGAAACACCGACTTCGGTGGCTTGGACATGTTCTACAAATGTCGTTTCAGAGAATTCCACGTCGTGCATTATTTGCCGTCGCTGGGACTAGTTGAAAAGAGCGGAGAGATGGTCAGTGTATGATATGGTGTCGTGGTATGAAAGAAAGCTGCAAAGAGCGGGTTTCTGTTGGCCCTTCACGACTCCCTGGCTGGGGTCCGAGAGATGGTGCAACACAGAAACATGATTTACTGTTTTATGTGTTCTGATTAGTTTTAAGATAACTAAAACTTTATCCAAATATTATTGTTTCTATGGAGAAATGTTTTATAAAATGTATATTTTATTCGATATTCACGTGAAGCAAATGCATATGAAGTTGTCGCTTTTATGTCATTTATATTACATAAACCAAATATTATAATAAAATCGTTTGTTTTTAGAGTCAAAGTACCCTAAACTATGTTTGCTAAAACATTGAGTATATATATATACAATTGTAGTACGTTTTAATGTTTGTCATATTCATGATATCATTATATCAATGCAATTAACTAAATCAGTCAAAGTAATAATCCATTTATGACAGTAGAATCCAGTATAATGTAGCATTGCAATCATGTGGTATTTGATCATAAGACATTTTGATAATAATGATAGAATACTGTGACTATTACCGTTCGTTAAAATTTCACTAAATAAGAAAGATTAGTTCAGTGAATAGTTCTCTTTTCGGCGAATTCATTTTCAAAACTGTACAATCGCAAATATATATGTACTTATTTTTACAGGATGATAATAATATTACTGATAATAAACTTCTGTTAGACAAGGTGAAAGTGAGGTTAAATAAGCAAAGGTATTAAAAAATTTTAAAACAAGGAAAGTTTAATAATCGATTGATTGTTAATGGCTAACGTATTCATCAAAATGAAAATGAATTCGCCAAAAAGAGAACTCTTCGCTGAACTAATCTTTCTTATTCAATGTCTTAATGAGTGTATTTCGTTCACTAGAAAATTTCAATAAACTTATATTAAGTGAATCCATATTCTGTGTTACAGAAACTATAACGGCTATATTTTTAGCTTAATTATAAACCGGAACGCTTTTTTCCCAAGAATGCTAATTAAGTCACTTTGTCGAAGTAGATTCTCGGTAGGGAGTATCAGAAAGCGATACTGTTAGATTACTACCGTAAACTAATTCTTTAGTCAAAATCAAATTCATTGAAGAGAAAAAGATACATTGTCCAAATAATAGATATTTTATCAAAAAAGCTATTTAGTACCGGGTAAAAATTGCTTGTCTGTACTATAACAAAAACAATGTTTTCAAGTAACCGATTCAGACTTAAAGTCAGATTTCTTATTACGTCACATCATTTTATTCATAACCATCGACTTTGCTCACTGCAAACGGTTACGGAAGATCAAAATAAGAAAATAATTTACAAAACTATCATATAATTTGTTTAATTCCTTCTCATACATAGTGTGAATTAATTTACAAGTGATATGTATTAACTCACCATCCATACAAATTTTATCTTCCAATGTGTTGCTTTTCGTTTTATTTGATTGACACATTAAACTGTAGTAAGATAAACATACAGGTGTATTATAACAAGATATACCACAGCATCGTGAATCAGTTACATTTCTTTCACCTTCATCATAACTAAGATTTATTTCTGTAAATTGAAATGACAAAAAGCAAATATTTTATAGTTAACAATTAACTAGTGTATTTAAATGGCACATCATGCAAGTGAATGGTGTAAGCTAAGCACATAATATTACTAACAGCTTATAAATTTTATAGTTGACTTCATAAGTCAATTGAAATTAGAACACCATGGAAAACCTGGAAGTACTAGACGACCGTTTAATTTCAGTATGGAACTCCTCAGTAATGCGTATCCACAATCCCACCTCGCAAGATTCGAACCCAGAACCTATCGGTCTCGCGCACGATCACTTAACCTCTAGACCACTGAGCTGGCCGGCATTAAACGGTGTTAATGTCTAACTTTAACCAGTTCACGGAATTGTTGATAATAGATTATAATTTTTGAAATGGTATTTGGCTTTGTTTCCTGGACTGGATGGGATTGAATTATCAAGAAAATTATCCACATTTTAGTGTGAAATATTTTAATTCCTGAATTAACTCCTTTGAAATGCTTGAAAAAAATGAGGATAATTGATATTTTATGCAAAGATTAGACCTGGTTGTTCACAGTCTTTATTTCTTATTAGTCCATTTTACAAAAGTCTTCAAGTTATCGAGATCAATTCGCATTTCTTCCCAGCTATCCATTCATTTAATATTATCTGTTAAATTTTGTGTTATTCTACTTAAATGACTCTTTAATTAAATATGATTTAAACTAATATCCTTTCACTTGACAAATCAAGTATCATGTATAAACTTAAATAACGTGTAAATCATTTATATGAATCGGTTGAATGAATTTTTCTGTTTGTAAACTGTGAAAATTTATCCAAGAGTTTGTTTATTATTAAAATTACAATACTTGATCATTTGTATGAATTCCAATAGAGACCTATATTTTTGTCATTGAATTTTACAGGAAATAAAATAAAATAAATTTTTTCTCCCCAAACTTGTAAACATTTTATGGGCGCCTAATCAATAAAGTTATAAAACCAGTCCATTGTTTATAAATGTATTCATTTGTTACTATTAAATTATGTTGATCATTGTGACCGTTACTTCTAATCATGTCTCTATTAATCTTATTGTGAACTAATCAATAAGAATTGTTAACGCTTAAAAGATACTTAAAAATTGTCAAGTATGCAGCCATTTTACAATTTTTTATTTTAACATTTATTGTAAATGCACTAACTCCGAATGTAGCTCTTCTAGAGTTACTGCCGGTTCCAAGCCAGGGGGAAAGGTTAAGGGTTGAGCATAGGGTTAGCGACCAACTCGCTAAAAAAACACTAACCAGAAAAAATAATTCAAACCATTAAAAATCTGCCCTAGGAGTTAGAAGGTTTTTATTTAGAAGAACTATGACGCCTCATGGTGAAAGACGAGTTTCTTCGGTAGCTATGAGAGCAACAATTTTTATAGGTACATGGAACGTCCGAAACAAACGTTTTTTGTAATTGCACTATTATTTCTCTCACCTCATCTAACTCATATTTATTCTGATCATGGATCTTAACATTTTCACTTAACATATAAGCTGATTCAAATTACCATTCTATATGAATCATATCAACATAAACCATTTTATTCTATTTTATTTCATAATCCTAAATTCACATGCTTTAAACGTTGTGCTTTACACTTAACCTGTCCATTCTTCGAATTATTAATTAGGATATATGAATTATAGAACCTGAAGAGAATTTATCGAAAAGAATGTTCTTCTTTTAAATAGTAGTCTTTGAATATAATAAGGTTCATTAAACGAATGATAACTCTATACTTTATAAAGATATGAACATAAAGTTATAAATGAGAAATGAAACGGATAAGGTTATTTTATTAGATAACAATGCGGATGATAACTAATCTGTCAATATGTTAACAACAATTTTTTTGGTGAGTAACTCCATGAAGTAACACATACACACAAAGAAAGAGAGAGAGGGAGACATAGACATACGCAAATAGAACTGCAATTTTAAAAGAAAAGAAGCATAGATGTTTGGGCAATGAATTAAGTAAATTGTTTGCTGATTAGAAAAACATAATAACTTTTCATTTTCCTATTAAATATACAATAATAACAAAGCAAAATCTCACTATCGTTAACTAAGAAGAATAAAAGAATATTTATAATTCTACATTTGTATTTGTTTTCTGAGAAAAAAAATCAAATCAAATAGAATCAATAATCCAACCGGTTATGGATATGAAATATGTAATAAGTAAGAGTATTTGATATTGATTTGTATTGTAGATACCATTTTTGGGAAAATCTTAATTTTAATAATATTAACACTAGCAAATATACAATTGAGGTTGCTAACCACTAGTGATAAGTAAATCATTTGATGTTATTCAAAAGTTTAATTTACTATAAACAGATAATTTAATAATGTCAGAATAACTGTGTATTTCAATCACACAATAGTTGGCTTCCTCATAGACGAACTTTCTAGTATAATAAAGATTTCAATCTGTGAAATTTCTAAAATCTCCACAAAAACCCATTCTGATAATAATAAAGATAGCATTCGATCTGCATTTAAATAAGGACTAGACACGCATGACATTGATCCCCACTCAGTGATCAATCAATTGTCATTACATCTCAGTCCTACAGAAGGTCGGTCACGGCTCGGATAGCTCAGTGGTAACGTCTATGACTGTGGAGCTGGGTGACACGGGATTGAATCCGTCAGGGAGCACCAGTTCCCTCAAGATTACAAGTACACCTTGCTGACGAGTGCCAAGTAGCACGGGACCCGGGTCCAAGGTATTCTGCCGACTACCTCCAACCACCATCTAATCAAATTCATTCAATTTATTCATAGAATATTATAATATATTTCTGACTTAATTCAACGAGTTTCACAGATTTTTTTTGTTTAAACACTCTAATCCAAATGTTGTATAGTTTAAACCTATTCAGAATTATTTTATTGTAATTTCTAGTCAATTATTTAGTTTATTTAAGAAATATGATAATATTACTATTTTCCCATTCTACCCCATTATAATTCTATGCAAATAATTAAAACTCCAAGGACAAAGAAATATTCTCAAGAGATTTAAATAATAATGGTAATGATAATAATGATGGTTAACACGTAGATGACTATTATTGAAGGTCAACTAGTTTTTTTTCTTAGTTGTTGTTGTCTTCAAATGAAATGCGAAAGAATAAAAAAGAAACTTACATAGAAACAATTCAATGGGATTACAAATTAATTTCTAAAAAAAAAATAAAACCTTAATTTTTCAAGTTGACTATACTGAATATATTATCATGAGAATACTTATTAACTGATTACATTTAGATTGTTACAGATTATTCAACATATTTACACTTACAAATTAACTTAATTTCCTATGGAGTTCAATGGAAGAAAAAAGAAGAAGTAATAGAATAATTAAACTAAATTGTAAATTAGTTATTTGTGTGTGTGTAGAGGGTGAATGTTAAGCTATAAGAAATAAGAGAAAAATTTTCATTGACCTTATTACATTTAGTAAATCCATTCAGGGAGAATATTTTGGAAAATGCGGTATAATTAAAGGATATTTTAAGAGTTGAAATACTAATAACAATGTACTGAATGTATGTGTTACTCGTTCCGTAAACTGATTATCCGGGAAAAAAACGTTATTAAAACTAACTCTCTCTCTATCATTTTTGAGCTGATATTTGTGTTGTAAACCTTATGAATATCAGCTATGTGTATAATCAATGTCATAGTATTTTACACAAAGTACATCATTTACAGGTTTATATAACGAAATGATATGCCGAGTAAATAGTTTATTAAAATTACTAATTACATACATCATGAAAAGATGACGAAATCCACTAAAGCATCGATTATCATCGAAAACGTGAATTACTCAGTATTACCACTTTAGATAATTCTTAACTAAAGTGTAAATGAGATTACACGGAAACGTTATCCGAAAATTCCCGATAAGAAGAATAACATGTCATTGGATATACTTTATCAAATAATCATTACATAAAGCAGTTATACTAGAAGGGATTTTCTGGCACATCGAAAAATCTAGATGAGTAAACGATATATCTAACTGGAATTCAATACTAAATTGAAAAAAAAATAGAAAATGGAAGTCTGACTTATAAACACAACGTATCAAGGATGGCCTTATAGTATAAAACGGTATCGATTAATCTAATTAGCAAAAATCAACAGTTAAGTCCATGTTAATCAATTACTGCTGATCATCCATATCAGGTAGATAAAAAAAACACAGGTAGGATATCTGTGAGCTCTTATGTTGAATGTAAATATGCATTATGTAAATGTATCGATGATTGAATCTTCGAAGAACTAAATATAAAAAACCTTATTGAGTTGACAAAACTTACATGTAATTTTAGCCAACGTTATTTTATTTGTTAGCCTTGTAATCTAAGTAATCGACATACCATTATCATTCCTTTTAAATGGGCTTTAAATTAAATGATTCTTCGTTCCACAAATTATTCCGTTATTTATATTAAGCCAAGAATAGTGGGTTTTTAATTGGTGAAAATCATGTAGTTAATAGTATACCTCCAGTGTATCTCTAGATAACTTTCAGTACTCTTGGTCAGATCTATACTTAAAAGAATAACAGTCACTTTATCTACAACTTTGGCAAGTTTAAAATAACTTTTATTCCTCGTTTCTACTTTCAATTTGAAAAACTAGTAACACGTCTGTGTGGTACAATGATTTTGTGATGAACGAGATCACAAGTGCGGAACAACCAAATGTATTTGAATACAAAATTACAGAATCTTCTAGTAACATCTAAGAACCATACAGTAAATACTTCATTTGCAAAAGATCAGTTAATCGTTTCAGATTTCATTGTCCTTTTTTTCCACATCAAACATTCTTTTTTCGCTCTCTTTTTTCGGACTTCTTAACCTTCTGCAGCCAGACATTTTACTTTCTACTGATGATACATACTACTTATATTTGTCAAAATCAGTAGCACACACGACAA